AGCAAAAACCCTGAAATCATCACATTTAGAGAAGTGCCCATGCACAAAACCGGGACTTTTTTATAATCTCATAGAAGCGGTGTTGAGCAGGTCACATCTGCTTGAATCCCTGGAAAACGTTTCCCACTCGAAACTTATGCCTAGAAGAATCGACTCTTCCACTGTTGGTCATCTGCTTCATTTCAAGCTCTTATACATAATGCTTTTCTTTTTTTTTTTTTTAAAGATTACAGATGCATTCAATCTGTTCGGCAAACAATTCAAAACACGATGAACTGCCAAGACCTTTCTATCGGCTAGGCTCTGCCGATTAAGGAGCCGCTTCATCATTCATGTTAGAGGTCAATGCTTCTACAGTAGCGAAAGGAATTTTTAACTCTGAAAACATATACCGGCAAAAAGTTTCGGAGATTGTCGCAAAAGATAGTTTCTTCAAGCAAAACAAAATATATAATATCTACTGTTCGATAAAACCTGCTTCCTAATTCGCCGCTGTAGCGAGCCGATTGAATTTCTGGTATTTAACTGCTTCAAATAAGGACAAATATAGCAACAAATTAAAATTAACCTTGCCAAAAGGAGAGGAAGATAACTGATTTGACTGTAAGGAATTTTAGTACAGGTTGATATGGCGAGAGTAAATCCCGTGTAGCTGTGTAGAACAAAAATAATCCATAGAGTGCTAACGAGACAGATACGTTGTAGACGATTGTTATATAGAGATAGCCTTGGTCGCCACTGCAAAAGCAGTTACGACTAGTTATAAAGCATAAAAAACTGAAGTAACAGCAAACAATTCCGTTCGGTTAATAAATGAATATTTCATCGAAAAGCCATTATTCAAGTGTGGTTCTACTGCGCTCTGATTCAGATTCACTGACAGAGAATAAAAGCTGAGCAATTACCACAACAGCAGCAGTAGGAGGCAAGGCAGCAGTCTAACAAACCAGGGGAGGGAAGGTAACTTAATAAATGGCAATGCGCACCAGACTAGCCGGTGCGATCATGCGTTTTGTCCAATTCAGCCCATCGAACGATTGCCTGTTAATGATTTTCACTGCTTTGTACTATATGCAAAAACTGTTCAAACACTGG